GGGTCAAACAAACAGGTTGTTGGTGAACAGAATAACTGTTTCAAATTACTATCCTCTAATTGTAACAGGAGATTGTCTACTTATGCACTCAGAATGTAATTTTATTTCTTGTTGGATTGTTGAATTCTTTTTCTGTATTAAATGCCGTTTTGTGATTTAGTCCTGCTTTTTATGTTTTACTCTGCGGAAGCTGCATCGCGTTCTCACTGATGTGAAAATGTTGATGTCCTAACAACGGGGTTGAACTGAAGAAGCCTGTTATTCGCCCAGAGATATAACTCAGATGTGTGGCACTGAGGACCAGGGTTGAGAAACACTGGATTAGGATGTTGCTCAGCTTTGTGTGTATGCATGTGTGTGTGTGTGTAGGTGTGTGTGTGTGTGTGTGTGTCTGTGTGTGTGTGTGCGTGTGTGTGTGAAGGCAGATGAGTGAATACTTTTGTCAACATTGTACACATCCAATTCTGAACTACGTCAGTGTTCTCTGTATTATTCACCCAGAGAGCCACATAAAAAGGCTCTAAATGGTTCAGAGCCTCTTCAGTTAGTAGTATTTTTCTATGAAATGTTGAGTAAAATATAGGCTCAAATTCCTGTAATGTAATATAGTATATATCTGGAATATAAACTATTATAAGTCATTTTCACTGAGTAGAAAGACGTGAGATATTTTGGACACAGTTTGTCCAGATCGCTACTAACCATGTTTTCCATTTCGCCTGTTAGCTTGGAAAGGATACGTTCACACAAGGAATTCAAGCTGGACTTATTTTGTTTGGAGCCCTATGAAGAGACCATCCCTTCCTCTTCCTCATGATCCATTTCATCTAAATAAGGGGATCACCTCAGCACCATATTAACACCAATGTATTAAACCTCAGGACAGGAATGTCAGCATCCTGGGATGTCTGAGCTGGATCATTTCCTTGTTTGACTATAGTCGTTGCTAGCAGGACGGTGCCATAGCAGTTTGTTCATCTGTATTTGGTTTCTATTTTATTTCTGTTTTTGCAACTTTGAAATTATCTATTTATAATCACTAATTCATTAATACTATTCTAGAGTTTTTTGTTGTATGCATTTGGCGTGTTTACTATGTGGACGTTACTGTTTTTATAAAATGAATCTTTGACAATAGAAATATTTCTCCAGTGTTTCCTCACTATCGATCAGAGCTGCCACAGTTCTTCATCTTCTATAATTGATTTTCTCCCACTTCCAAAACCTCACGGTTTTACTACCTGTAATTACTTGCGTTAGCCGTTTTTTTTATTAGTAGTAGTATTATTTGGATCATTTCATTGTGTCTCTAGTGGTTAAACGTCTTTCTTTCTGTTTTTAAGCTCTGTAGCTTTGTATCAGACTTGACTGAAAGGCAAATGCTCTATATACAAAATTTGGCTGATTGATTGATACAATACTTTGTAAATAAATACATTTCTTTATGTTGCATGAACAGATTTACTCCTTTCAAACTCAAAATTTAATTAAATCTAAACGTCATTTTTATGAACGAACACATGAACGTTCATAAAACGTTCATGTGTTCATCTTTTCATGAGATGAGATGATTTGAATAAATTGCCAGTCAACTTAAAAGTTAGAAATATAAAAATAATTTAGCCTACCGCTGTCATTAAGTTTCCGTGAAGTGGACCTTGAAAAGCAGTGCACAGATCTGTTGAACTCTGATACTGGCAAATGTAGCCCCGTCTTTACTATATTGCTTAAGTTGTTTGTCATTTCAAGGACAACCACCACATGGTTATCTCCAAGCTCTGCACCTTCTGCTCGAATGATAATTCCAAACAGTGTCTGCCATGATCATTTGAACTCCCTCATCCTTTGACAAAAAAGAAAATAAAATAAGTCAAAGATGTGCCTTGCATCCATATTTACAGCACAAAATCTTTGTTGTACTACTGTAAAACATCTATCACCGCTCTAATCCATATTCATAGCAATGCACGTGTTATCAAAAAACCCATAGGCAAAATATATATATATATATATATATATTTTAAGGGAGTTTATTTAACTTGCCTAATGATCTTTCTTTCAAACTCACTTAATCATACATGTAATTATAAATCCACCCTACTAATTATTCCCTTTTTTCTTTGGTAACAGCTGAAAATATCCCACACGTTAGTGTTTACACCTGACCCCCTTCTTTATGTGACCCTCAGCAACAGAAAGTGACTCAATTTGGATTTTAAATGTCTAGTGTCGGTTTGGGATTGTGCCGCAGTATGATGCATGCTTTTAAATCCATGGTCAACTATTTGTTGTTTTTAAATGCACCTTTTAAATAAATTGGAAATTTGAAATGTAACCAAGTGAAAGAAGAAGAGATTTAATGACCTCTTAAAATAAATTTTAATCTGATAGGAATACACAGGAACCCTGATCCACAGCAACTCTGATCATCTCTTTAGTGAACACATTTGTAGATTAACAGACCAGGTGTTCCTTCACCAGCTCCTCTGGATCTGCATTCAGAGGCCGTCAGAAATGTTTCTCTTCTGACTTCAGTAGCATCATCCTTAATATGCAGACCAGAAAAGAACGCAAACAGTAAAAAGATAATTTAAACAAGCCAGCATGTTTGCTGCCTCATTTAAATTGAAGTGTAGGTTCACACACTTCAAAACTTTTAACTAAATTCAAAGGAAGACATAACATGAAATGAACATGAACATTTATGCCTGAAATATGTGAAAAACAAACCATTCCAAAACAGACCGACACCTGGGTAAACTGGAGAACATGGATGGATGGATGGATGGATGGATGGATGGATGGATGGATGGATGGACGGATGGATGGATGGATGGATCCATGGTTGGATCCATGGATGGATGGATGGATGGATGGATGGATCCATCATGTGTGGCAGTTCTCTGCCACACATGACGTTTTGCATTTTGGTCAAATTTTTGAGTATTGAGTCGGGCAGAAGGGAAACAGACAAGCGGATGGAGGAAGAGGATCAAAGTGAGTGGGAAGTAACGTGAACAGGAAAGTCAGACAGACATGTTTTTTTTTTTATTTTTACAATTTAGTGCATATAAATTAGACATTGCAGATGAAAAAAGAGAGGTATTGATCTACAAGAAAACTTACCCTCAATTAGAGATAAAATGCAGGGGAAAAAGGAGGTACACATTAAAATGAAAACATTTAAGCCAAAGACAAAACACAGAAGAGAAATAGAATTAGGAATAGAATTGTATATATATATAAAAAAAAAAAAAAAAATTCCCCTCTCACCCTCC